TTCTCACTTCACCATAGTCAACTTATATTCAAAAGTAGAGCGAATTTAAAATTTTGAGCCTTGCCACATATTTCTCATTTTGTTTGATTTTTGTAGACAGTCGCTCTTAATTCGTAAAGTGGAAGAGCCAACTGATTGGGTCAGTTCTATGGTTGTGGTGGAGATACCTAACGGAAAACTTCGCATTTGTTTAGACCCAAAACATCTAAACAAAGCAATCAAACGTGAACATTTTCAATTACCAACAATTGGAGATACATATATCACTACACGTATGGCCAATGCCAAGTGGTTCTCCAAGCTAGATGCCAATCATGGATACTGGCAAATACCTTTGGACGAGGACAGTCAACTCCTTACCGCTTTCAACACTCCTTTTGGCAGATATTGCTACACTTGCACTCCATTTGGCATCATCTCAGCACAAGAGGTTTTTCAAAAAAGGATGCATCAACATTTCGACGATCTCGAAGGTGTTGAAATGGATATTGACGACATCCTTATTCACGGAACAACAGAAGAAGAGCATGATCGACGCCTCGAATCTGTCTTAGAAAGATGTGAGAAGATCAATCTAACCTTAAAGGACAATGGCACCGAAAATTTTTATTGGCTATTTCAATCCTAATTGACGACCTAACTATGAAAATATTATCAGTTCGTTCTCAAACATTTTAGTTTACGAGTAAAATGCATACAAACTTTGTGTTTCGCCGCCATCTTGGAAATATTTTTTGACAAATTATCTCGAAGGTCAATGAACTTTGTGACGTCATTGGATGGGTAGCACTAAAACTACAAGAGAGAATTCTATTGCGTGCGTGTTATGTTAGCTAAAAATATGTCGTTTTGAGCGTTATACTGGCCAACACTCTTCGCAATCAAACAAGATAAGTCTACACTATCAGATAAAAACATATCGAGCGACTGGAAAAGCATTGCATTAGTATTTGTCTTGTGGCACTCGAATTTCTGCGTTTATTTAACACAGAGTAGGATATATACTATGAGAAATAGTGTTTGGTAAAACTTTGCTGCCTTTTGTTTCGGTTCAAATGCACTACGCGTGGCAATACTCGGTATTGTTTATAGTCATGAAATTGTTTTTACCCAGCCAATGACGTCAGATAATGTATTTTGAGGCATAAATTAGCATACGCGCTTATTTTCAAAATGGC